ATGCCACTAGTAAAAATGAAAGAACTTGGTCAACTCTGGACAAAAAGTGTCCAAAGACAAATAGTGAAATAGGGAAAAATATCTGTCACATATGTCAGAATAAAAGGATAAATTCTTTAATAATTAAAAAATTCTTTAATAATTAAGAAGCCTTTAAAATTAGCAAAAAAGAAGACTGATTCACAAAAAAGAAATATAAATGACTTTAAAAATATATGAAATTATGCAAAATCTCAGCTCTCATACACTTCTACAACAGGGATCACCATTCTGCCCTCCTATCAGAAAAACTCTGGAGTCACCTGGACTCTTACTTTACCCCTTTCATGTCTTTCCCATTCTGCTAGTACTTCCACATTAAAAACAAAATTGCTTTTATTACATGAATTTCTTCCCCATATCATATGCTAGAACTCATGACGACATCAAACCCTTAAGGATGGCATCGAAGGACTTCTAGTGTTAGGGGCTTTAGTCCAACTCAAAATTCATACATTGAAGTCCTAACCCCCAGCACCTCACAATGTAACTGTATTTGAAGATAGGCTTTTATTTTATATATAATGAGGTCATTAGGGTAGGCCCTAATCCAATTTGATTAGTGTCCTTATAAGAGGAGGAAATTTGGACACAGATATGTACAGAGGGAAGATTATGTGAAAACAGCTATCTATAAGCCAAGGAAAGAGGCCTGGAACTGATTCTTCCCTCACAGCTCTCAGAAGGAACCAAGCCTGTCTTTACCCTGATCTCAGACTTTCAGCCTTGAGACCGTGAGAAAATAAATTTCTGTTGTTTAAACCATCCAGTCTGCGGTACTTTATCATGGCAGCCATAACAAACTAATACACCTAGTCTGGTCCCAAGATTTCTCCATCTCTCTTAGTGTTCCCTGAGAGGAAGTCCAAAGTGTAATAGGCAAAGATTCTTACTGGACCTTGTATCCCTTGTTTAGTCTGCTTGATGTTATTCTTTCAAGATGCAGTAACCTGCCCATACTCTGCAACAAAATTCCACCCATTCTTCAGGACTGACACAATTCTTTTCAACTTCCACCTTTGATCAACTGAGCCTATACCACCAGTCTGTCCTTTCTTTGACAAACTTCAAATCCTGATACTCAATGAATTCAAATGATCAATCAATCAACTAACTCCTTTAATCCTGACTTTGTTTCCCATGTATGAGGAAGAAATCGTCACATTATTCCCAGTATCTCCTGTGTATTACCTCCTTCAAGGGGACTGTATTTGTCCACAAGAAGTTTAGTCCTTCTTATAAGCATGAAAAGAATCCAGAGGCGATATGATCTTAAAGGTTAAGAGGCTAAATGACAACATATTAGAGGAAGCACAATATAGAGGGAAAGTCAGAAAAACTTCCTTTTGGAAAGGCTTTCATTCAGAAGAACAGGCCTATTTGTCACAAGCAGAACAAGTGTGCACAGGTTTGTAAAAGAGAAGATAATAACGGAATGGGCTCTATCTTGTAAGAAATGAAGTGGTGGTCTGAGAAGAATATAAATCCATATTCTCTTGGTGGCCCAGTTCCATATATATAGGGGATGATCTTTTATTTGGAACAGAGTTTAATGAGCAATCTCAACTAGGAAAGCTGAAAGCCTATGAAGATGAACCCATGGTGGTTCCAGATCTTGGAGCTAATGGTCTAACCAGACAGACAAACACATATCAGGTAATTTCCACTAATGTATGAAGTGCAGATAGGTGAAAGACAGAGGGCTATGAAGATTCAGAAGAGGACTGGAAATTAGCCCAGAGGGAGACAAAGGGGAAAAAAAGAGCATTGTTTCCTGGATGAGGCAACCAAAGCTGACTCATGACAGGTCAAAAGCAAAGAGCCAGACTGCCCATCCATTAAAATGGCTACTATGAGAAAAACAGAAAATAGCAAGTGTTGACAAGGATCTGGAGAAACTGAAATCCTTGTGCCCTGTTGGTGAAAATGTAAAATGGTGCAGCCACTGTTGAAAACAGGATGGCAGTTCCTTGAAAAATTAAACATAGAATTGTCACATGATCCAGCAATATATCCACAAGAATTAAAGGCAGAGTCTTGAAGAGATATTTGTACACCTATGTTCATAGTAGCATTATTCACAATAGCCAAAAGGTGGAAGCAACCTAAGTGTCCATCACAGGATGAATGGATAAACAAAATGTGGTATATTCATACAATGCAGTATTATTCAGCCTTAAAAAGGAAGGAAATTCTGATACATGGTTCAACATGGATGAACTTTGAGGACTTTATACTAAGTGAAATAAGACAGTCACAAAAAGACAAAAACTATATGATTCCACCTATTTGAGCAGTGAAATTCATAGAAACAGAATGGTGGTTGCCATGAGCCGAAGGGAGGGAGGAGTGGGGAGATGCTGTTTAATGGATATAGAGCTTTAGTTTTGCAAGATGAAAAGAGTTCTGGAGATTGGTTTCACAACAATATAAATGTACTTAACACTACTGAACTGTACACTTAAAAAATGGCTAAGATGGTAAATTTTATGCTGTCTATATTTTACAATTAAAAATAAAATGAAAAGGAAAGTAAAGAGCCAGGTGACTCAGTTGCACTGGCTGCCATAATGAAATACCACAGACTGGATGCCTTAAACAACAGTAATTTATTTCCTCACAGTTCTAGAGGCTGGAAGCCCAAGATTAGGGTATCAGCATGGCTGGGTTCTGGTGAGGTTCTCTTCCTGGCTTACAGGTGTCACCTTCTCAAGGTGTCCTCATATGGCCTTTCCTCAGTGCCTGTGTGTGAAGTCTCTCTCTTTTCCTCTTCCTATAAGGCCACCAATCCTATTGAATTAGGATTCCCACACATAACAACTTCATTTAACCTTCATTACCTCCTAAAAACCCTATCTCCAAATACCATCACATTGGGGGTTAGGGCTTCAACATAGGAATTTCGGGGGGACCCAAATCAGTCCACAACACCAGGTGAATGAAATGAAGACTTGGTCAATCCAGAGAAGACAATGAGAATGGGATATGAGGCAAGAGTCAGGAACAGTAGGATGTGTTTAAGAAACTAAATGAGGTTTGGTTTTGCTTTAAAGTTATATACTGAATTTTTTAATGTCATATTTCCCACTAGATTGTAAATACTATTAAGAAAGAAAAGTATCTGTATTATTTAAGTTGTAACTAGAGCACGCGTCACCTCCTTGCAACATCTTGGCTACTCAATAAATAGCTGTCAAGAAAGTCAGAGCAGCAATAAAGTAAAAAGACAAAATGAAATCTGTAATTCTCCAAAGCCTGAATGTTATTCTGAGAAATTGTGAATTTTATTGTTTAGGGATGAGAGGCCACTGAGGTGATATACAAATGCATGATACATTACCTCATTAGCATTTAGATGAACTACCCATGTGGAAGATGTGCCTGAGTAGGTGAAGAAAGAGGTGGGACAGATCAGTAAAGAAGTTATTCCACCAGTTCAGTTGAGAGGAGGAATAAAGTAGAGGAATATGTTTAAAATACATTAAATTGGACCGTATAAAATTGCTGTTATCTCTGATCTACACAAATAGCAAAAGTACCCAGACGTGATATTGGCCAGATGTGGCAGGAGTTAAGAGAGTGAGAGAGAGAGCAACAGGAGTCAAGCATGCATTCCATTTTTTGTGGCTTGGGTGCCTGGCTGAATGGGGTGATACCATCTATAGGGAAAGATGAGGAGGATTAGTTTGGGAAGGGCTGTGAATGTTGACTTTTACTTTGAATCAGTTGAGCTGTAGATACTTTTAGATACCTACAGAGAAATGTTGAGTCAACTATGTCCTGTACGGTAGCCACATATGACTATTTTAAACTTAAAAATTCAGTCCCTCAGCCACTCTAGCCACATTTCAACTGCTCAAGAGGCACATATGGCTACCGTTCACCATTTTGGAAATGCAGATATAGACCATTTCCATCATCACAAAAAGTGCCGTTGGTCAGGGTGGGCTGCAGAGCCTCATTTGGGAGACCAGCAAATACATCATTGTTAAAACCAGAAATGGGATGAAATGAGTCAAGAAGAATAGTTAGAAGAATAGTGAGAAGGAATAGAAGCTTGTGGAGGAGACATGTGAAAGGGCAGGAGAAGGAAGATGACTCCATGAAAGAAACAAGAGGCAGGACAGTGGCAGAGGAGGGTGTCACACATACTAATGCAGGAGACCTTCCAGAGACACAGAGAGGGGGGAGTCAGGCACTGAGACAGGTCTAGTGAGGTAAGGACTACACAAGACCCATTAGATTTGACTGTAATTAGGTCACTGGTGAGTGCAGGTCACAGGCATATGAAGAGAGACACGAAGGCTTCATGCAGTGGAATGAAGTATGAATGGAAAGTGTGGTAACATTTGCCAAAGAACAGTACTTTAAACTGTCTGCTAAACAACTTGTTTATGACAGGTACTTGAGAGGAATATTTATGGAGAGCTATTTTTATGGACATGAACGTACAGCCATTCATACTGACCTCTAGTTAGTCTAAGAATTATCCCTGGATCCAACAGGATAACTAAACTTCTGTTTTACTTATCCAAACACCTGCTTTGGCAATATGCCCTTTATTTTCAGTGGAATTCTTTTCAGGGTTGTCATTGGAAAGATCTGCACTATCACCTACGTGAAGACCAACAAAGACATTTCTCCTGACTTTGACGACTTTAAATTCCATGAGGAATGTCTGGTTTAAGCTTCTCATCAACATAATTCTTCAAACAAATATTGTCTGTCTAACTCTCTGCCATGGCTATCAGAAAGGTCAGAAGAAATTTGCAGCTGCACTTTGGAAAATCTGTAATATCAGAGGACCCTTACCTATCCACATGACAACTCTGCTGTGCTATTCATCTGCTTTTCTATTATCTTCCTTGAATAATTCTGATCCGTTTCTATATCTACTTTGCCATGTTAATTAACCATCTATACAATCCATTATAAAAAAAAGGTGTTAATGAACAACTCACCTGAGATATGTTCATTTTCTGCTGCTCCTGAGAGAATGCAGAGAACTGTGAAGAATGAGCTGGGGGTAAAGAAAAGAGGGATGGAGTCAGGAAAGGTCTGGTGAGCTTCTGTATTCACTAGCCTAATCTCATCACACCAGTTGGGAAAAAAGTCTCTCTATGGAAAAATGTTCTGTTGATCCTTGAGGAGCAGGAAGCACCACATAGAGACAGCACTCCCTGAATATGTACATCTCTGATATGATCATATGGATATAACCCTGCTGTTTTTCACTGGGTGATGTAAATTATTTTCCTATTGATTTAAAAAAATGTATGTGCTCCCTGACTAATTCACAAAAAACTAAAACAGAGGATTAATATTAATATCCTATTATTTACACCTTGAGTTAGAAAATCAACAGAAGACTCTGAACAAAAAGATAATGACAAAATATTTTTAAATCTTTTTGTTCTGATTTGTTGCAATTTCTCAAAAAGACTTTTGATAAGACACTTTTAGTGACTTACCTGTGACAGAATGAACAGTGCTGTGTTTTGAACAGCACTGTGCTTTGCTCCTAGCTCTGTCCTGGGTGACCAGGGGACATACATCTCAAGTTCAGTATTTTGTTTTAAGGTTTTAAGAGTCAAAAGTAGAAATCTTTTCCTATATTATCATTTTGTGATTCTATATGTTCAGCATAAAGGAAGCCACAGCCTACCTCTAGATGCCATGTGTAATGAACATGGCGTGACAGTGGCTCAGAATCTGAAAGAATGAGAGAATGAAGAAAGTGGGGGGTTATTTAAGGACTGAAGACAGAATTTCCTTGACTCTGGCTGTGGCTTTACGTGTGCAGTACATCAGTCACCCATCCCTTTCCACCCCTGCTCACCACCTTCTGCAAGCTGATCCACAGTTTCCACAGTCACACAGTCTGTGACGGATTCTGGATGTGGTGACATCACCAAGTCTGGCTCTGTCTAGGCAAGGTGATTAAGATCTAGTTCTTAATCACCTTGGAGCAAATCATAACCTGCTCCTTTCTGGGTTCTTCTGCATCTGTTCCGAAGCTCTGATGAGGGTGGCTCCTCTGAGATGGGACTCTTGTCCCTGCCTTTCTGCCACAAAAGAGCTGCTTTGTTCCAGAGATGCTGAGACTTAGGCCTAGGAAACAAATGCATTTTAGTTGAAACTTTCATATAGAGCAGTGTTTCTCAACTTCAGCACTAATGATATTGTGGGCTGGATAACTCTTTGTCATGGGGGTGAGGGGTGCTGTCCTGTGCATTGTAGGATGTCAAGCAGCATTTCTGGCTTCTACCCACCAGGTGCCAGTAGCACTTCTCCCAGTTGTGACAACCAAAAATGTCTCTGGACATTTCCAAAGGTCCTCTGGGGAGCAAAATCACCCTGGTTGGGAACCACCGGTGCAGGGCCTTAAACTTGCTTCTCCTGGAATTCATTAGAACTCTTTTATCCATTATGGTAGCCACTAGCCACATCCCACTATCAAGCACTTGAAATGTGGCTCCTGCCACATGTTGAAGTAACATTTTTGATATATTGAGACAGACACAATATGTTCTTACAATTAATTTCACTTGTTTCTTTTTAGTTTTTAGCGTGGCTACTAGAACATTTAAAATTACATACGTGGCACACCTTCTCTTTCTATTGGACAGCACTGCACTAGAACATCAGACTGTGCTTTCTGGGGACAGAAACAGCCTGGACAGTGCAGAAGTTTCCAGGGGCCTTAGTCTTAACCCAGAGGCTCTGGAAACATTCCACAAATCCTAGAGTAAACACACCTGTCACAGAGTGAGATTCAGTTCACACTGACTTTACAATCACAGTCCTGGGGATTTGGGGACAAGTCACTCTGCTAGTGCTGTGATAGCTGCAACACTGGGTTTTGGGTAGGCAGGATATTAGGAACAGCTTTAATTTGGGAGGAAAGTATACCTTTTTTTACATCCTAGCTTCCTCACCTTTGTGACCTTGGGTCTGTTATTTCACTTCTTCTTTTTTTTTAATGATGGAATTATACCTTTATTATAAATAGGGTGGCTGTGAGGATTAAAATCTAAATGAAAAGAACAAAGTGTCTGGGCTTCCCTGGTGGCGCAGTGGTTGAGAGTCCGCCTGCCGATGCAGGGGACACGGGTTCGTGCCCCGGTCCAGGAGGATCCCACATGCCGCGGAGCGGCTGGGCCCGTGAGCCATGGCCGCTGAGCCTGCGTGTCCGGAGCCTGTGGTCCGCAACGGGAGAGGCCACAACAGTGAGAGACCCGCGTACCACAAAAAAAAAAAAAAAAAAAAAAAAGAACAAAGTGTCTTCTAACTATGATGCGAGCCAACATTATATGTTGGCTTATTAACTACTACTTATTAGTGCTTATTGCCTAGCACTTGGCTGAATGCTTTACCGGTGAAGACTTATCTCTCTGAACAACGCCACGAAACAGTTATTAATAACCTTATTTTTAGGTGAGAAACCTGACTTATGCCCAAGTAACAGAGAAGGAATTTACTCGATCTGTTTGGCTCCTAAGCTCGGGAGCTCAACTCAGCCCCACCGCCCGCGCGCGCTTCGTGGCAGGTTCACGGTCAATATTATAAACGTGCATTGCCCTTCCACTGCTGGCAAGGGACTTTCCCAGGTCCGGCTGCGGTCAGCTCCCACACCCGTGCCGCACCTAGCATTTCTGCCCAGCACTCAGCGCCACCTACGGCCCCGGAGCCCGCCCTCATTCACCTATCCCAGGTTTACCCACTGGCCGGGCACGGAGACAAGCCGTGGGAGTCCCACGTTGGGGCAGGAGGGGTTTCCGGGACTTGCCGTTCCTTGACCCGGGACACAAGCCTACCTTTCCAAGCTGGATGTCCGGACCTAAAACGTCCTCACCTCAGGCGCAAAGCCTCCGCGCCCACCAGTCGGGAAAGGGCGGAAGTAGAAGAGTTGGGTTACCTCACCAGCGCGGAGAAAAGCCCAGGACATCCGTTCCCAGAACGCTGCGCGATAACCGGAAACGTTCAAGACTACGTTTCCCATAAACGCTGCAATCACTCGCAAATTTGCGGGGTGTGTGTGTGTGTGTGTGTGTGTGTGTTTGTGTGTGTGTGTGTGTGTGTGTGTGTGTGTTTGTAGAGGGGGTGGGAGTTAGGGAGCCATAAGATATTGTTAACAGTCTGTACTGATGAATGACGCTCAAATTCTACCAAAGCCCCAGAGGTTATGTGTTAAACTCTGATAGTACAGCAAATCCAGTGTGTGGTCCTCGATCAGTGATCCTCTTTGGAGAAAACAGGCCGTTTGGGAACAACTGTGGAAATTTTTATATGGACAGGATATTGGAAACATTAAGGGAAGTTATCATTACTTTTGTTAATTGTTATAATATTGGGATTATGTAAGTTTACTTTTTTTTTAAAAATGCATGTTAAAGTACTTAGCATTGTATTATATATTTGTAATAAAATTAACTAGAAAAGGAAAATACAGTAAAATGTTGAGAATGTCTACCTCTCGAAACAAGCAGTGGAACACTATTCTGAGGGGTTTTGGGCAGGAGGCAGCATAGAAACAGGACATCACTGGCTAGGAGGTCGGAGATTTTCATATAAGGCAGGTCCTATTTTCTAGGTTAAAGTTAAGCTAGTTAAAGCTGAGTTGGAGGATTGTGATTGATGTATGTTAAATTTCCTTGACTGTGATATGTGTTCCATAAGTGCAGGCCAACTTAGGTTTAGATTTGCAATGCGGGCCCCCATTTTGTGGGTCCTGATAGACAATTAACTTTATCATATATAAACAGCTTTTGTAAATAAACTGTAAAATGTAACAAATGCTGGAAAATGGAGACTATGATTAACATAAAAGAATAGGATCTGTAATCCTCAGAGTTTATTTCTGAGGAAAAAAGAAAAAGCAATAACTGAAAGTACACATAACTCAAATAAGGAAATGATTATCATGCAAATTATGCATCTCCTAGGGATGAACTTGCTTAAAATTTGTGTGCACACTTCTGAAATTAGAACCAAATTAGAAACCTCTGCTTATACTTGTATATAAATACACACACGCACACTTTTCTTTTTTGATATTTTGTAACACTGATTATTTTATATGGCAATGATAAAATGTGGTTAAGTTTTGATTAACAAGAAAAAAGGATTAATGTTATCAGTAAGTGCAATTTTGTGAATCAAGTTATAAAACTTTAATCTGTTGACACTTCAGAAGCTTTAATAAGTAGTATTTTCCTAGATGAAAATAATAAAATTAAAGTTCCAATCAGAATTCTAAAAAAGTTTTTATGTGTGTTTTTCTCTTTGACATTTGTATTTTTTGTTTGTTAAACCTAAAGGAAAAATTGTGACTTTCATCACAATAAAAATATTTAGTAATGATTAGAAAATAATTGAAAATGCATAACAATGTGTCCATATTAACATGTATGCTACTGCTAAAATATTTAACAACTGATCCTTGTGCAATAAAAGTTCAGGTCCAGGAAGAAAAGAAAGTGAGAACATATTGTGTATCAGAGCTGGTTTCAATAGTGGAAAAAGGACATTCATTAACCTCGTTAGAACAATGAGGTAGGTGCCAGAACAAAGTAAGTCCATATCCATGGCATTCATATTACAATAAATAACTTTCATAGGGATTCAAGCTATAAGCACTTAAAAGACAATTTTAAAGTTGTTTTTTTTTAAATCAGTTATTTATTTTTTTTTATTTGGTTGTGCCAGGTATTATTTGTGGCACGCAGGATCTTTGTTGCGGCATGCAAGATCTATTTCCCTAACCAGGAATCAAACTCGGACCCCCTTCATTGGGAGCGTGGAGTCTTAACCACTGGACCACCAGGGAAGTCCCAATTTTGAAGTTTTAAAATTTAAATTCTAAATTTCTTAAGTTCTTAAGGAATACAAACATTTTAAAAATATAAGGCCTTTCAGCTCCTTTCCTTGGAAACGCTTGCCCTTCACTCCTATCCCATGCCTAGGACACTGCACCAGGCTTGGGAACACAGCCTTCATGTCCTGAGAGGGGCCACAGACATGCTCCGTGCTCCACCTCTTCCAAGTCCAGTGCTACCAGTGTAGATGCAGCACCACTACAGTTACTAATAAATATTTGCAGAAGAATACTTTGAGGCTGTAAAACATTCTGTGTCTCCTTATATTGTCACCCACCCAATTTAGCATTCATCTGTGGATCTTGCCTGCATCAGTGATTACTCTGGTGTTCTAATGGTGGTTTTCAATTTCTGTCTTCCTTTGAGAAAGTATAAAGCAGCCTCTGACATTAGGGAACTGGCCTGACACTTAGAGCCTGGCTGTCCATTAAAGCTGTCTTGGTGCTCAGAGCTAAACAGAGCTGTTTTCCTGTTGGACATAATCTCACTGAACACCAAGTGGACAAGGTCATTTTGTGACTATGATGATGTAAGACAAGCAAGACCAGTTTATAATTTTGCATAAGTAGGGACAAAAACAAGGTTGTTCTGCTACTCTCAAAATTAGAAATATCCCTCTCTCAGCTGATATGAGTGACTGCTGCCTTTTTTTTTTAACAACACCCAATCCAGACTAAATTCAGCTGCCTTTGAACCTCTGCAAAATGAACTAACCAAAGCTCAAATCCAATGATTCCTTCCTAATACCCTTTTACTAAAACAGTTTATGGTTCCCATATGGTGTGCACTCTGCCTCATTGCAACGACTATTAAAGTCCAAATTGTTCAACTACCAGTATGTTGCTGGTGATATTTGGCTGAAGTACATTAACGTCTTCTACTGTTATTAATTGGACTTCTGTAAGGAGGATTTGTCCTTTCTCCCAATTTATTTATTCAACCATTTGTTTTTATCTGTATAGACAGGTGAAGATTTATGTCATTCCTTGGGCTATAATCCGCTACTATATTTTTTGCTAAATATGTTCTAGCTCTTGCCATTGGGAGATCCTTCAGCTTGCTCTGTGTCCTTTTTCCTCTTTTTTTAATAGGTTTTTAAAATTATTTTTTTTTTTAAATTATTTTATTTATTTATTTTTGGCTGCGTTGCGTCTTCGTTGCTGCGTGCAGGCTTTCTCTACTTTTGGCGAGTGCGGGCTACTCTTCGTTGCGGTGCGCAGGCTTCTCATTGCGGTGGCTTCTCTTGTTGTGGAGCATGGGCTGTAGGCGCGCAGGCTTCAGTAGTTGTGGCACGCGGGTTCTCGGCGCGAGGGCTTCAGTAGTTGTGGCACACGGGCTTAGTTGCTGCGTGGCATGTGGGATCTTCCCGGATCAGGGCACGAACCCGCATCCCCTGCATTGGCAGGCGGATTCTAAACAACTGCGCCACCAGGGAAGCCCTAGGCTTTGTTTTTTAGAGCAGTTTTAGGTTCACAGCAAAAATGAGAGGAAAGTACAGAGAGTTCCTATATACTTCCTGCCCCTTCAGACATACAGCCTTCTGCACTATGAACATCCTGCACCAGAGCCATGCATTTGTTACACTCAATGAACCTGCATTGATATATCATTATTACCCAAATCCATAGTTTGTATTAGAGTATACTCTTGGTGTTATACATTCTGTGGGTTTTAACAATGTAGCCACCATTATAGTATCATACAGAATAGTTTCACTGCCTTAAAAATCCTTTGTGCTTTGCCTGTTCATCCGTCCCTCCCCTCTAACCTCTGGTAACCATTGATGTTTTCCTGTTCCCATAGTTTTGACTTTCTCATAATGTCATTATAGTTTGCATCATACAGTATGTAGCTTTTTCAGATTGGCATTTTTGATTTAGTAATATGCATTTACTAATTCATGTCTTTTAATGGCTTGATAGCTCATTTATTTTTGATACTTAATAATATTCTATTGTCTAGCTGTACCCCAGTTTATTTACCCATTCACCTACTGAAGGTCATCTTGGTTATTTCCAAGCTCTGGAAATTATAAATAAAGCTGCTATAAACATCCATGTGCAAGTTTTTTTGTGGACATGTTTTCAACTCCTTTGAGTGTTTACCAAGGAGGATGATTGCCGGATCATATGTATGAGTATGTATAGTTGTGTATGAAATTGCCAACCTAACTGCCAAGTGGCTGAACCGTTTTGCATTCTTACCAGCAGTGAATGAGAATTCTCTTCAGCATTTGGTGATGTCAGTGTCTTTGATTTTGGCCATTTTAATGGGTGTATCTCATTGTTTTTGTTTGCAGTTCCCTAATGACATATGATGTTGAGCATCTTTTCATATGCTTCTCTTTGGTCAGGTGTCTATTCAGATCTGCCCATTGTTTAATTGGGTTGTTTGTCTTCTTATTGTTTAGTTTTAAGAGTTCTTTATATATTTTGGATAACAGTCCTTTATCAGATATGTCTCTTGCAAATAATTTTTCCTAGGCTGTGTCTTGTCTCCTCATCCTCTTGTCAATGCCTTTTGTAGAGCAGAAACTTTTAATTTTAATGAAGTGCAGCTTATCAATTATTTCTTGCATGGATCATGTATTTGGTTTTATATCTAAAAAGTCATTACCAAACCCAGGATCATCTAGATTTTTTCCTATGTTATCTTCTATAAGTTTTATAGTTTTGCACTTTACATTTAGGTTTATGATTCATTTAAATTTAATATTTGTAAAGGATGTAACGTCCAGATAAATTTTGTTTTGCATGTGGACATCCCATTATTTCAGCATCATTTATTGAAAAATCTGTCATTTCTCCATTGTGTTACTTTTGCTCCTTTGTCAAAGATTAGTTGACTGTAGTTGTGTTGGTCATTGCTGGGCTCTATATCCTGGTGCATTGATCTTTCAGTCTGTTCTTTCACCAATACCACATTGCCTTGATTACTATAGCTTTATAGTAAGTCTTGAAGTTGGGTAACATCAGCCCTCTGACCTGATTCTTCTCTTCCAATATTGTGTTGGCTAGTCTGGGTCTTTTGCCTCTCTGTAAACTTTAGAATCAG